ACATAACTGGATTCGATATTCGATAACCCTCACAGGAATCAAAGCGATAGAACTTATCGTTGTTAGAACAAATCGTTGTGATATTTAATTATTCTCTAATGTATTTTGCATCGCATATTCTTAAAATCTTTTGCAATTATAATTTTCAAAAGAGAAAATAACGGCCAACTAAATAATGTTAATAAAATTTACTAAATAATAAAAATATAAAAAAAAACATTTTGTCTCTACTTATGTTAGTTTTCATCTAGTAATTTTTAAATAAATAATTTATCTTTTTTGAATTCACATGTATAATTTCGTTGTATAAATGTGACGTGTGTATATATGTATATGAATAATCCGCACGTTAAAACCATTTACTTAATTTACTTAATTCTTCCGTTGCATTAACTTTTCTCATGTAAGTTTTTTTCTTTTCTCGCAATGTGACAAGATGTAAGATTAGAAGTCATAAGTATACAAAATGTCCCGCTCTGACTGTCACATCCTGATAATTAGTGCGCGCGCGATTGTAATTAACTATGTTTTTGCAAGTGAGTATTGTGTAAATGCAACAAAACAACTTGACAATGAGAAAAAGAGGAGGCCTGAGAGTCAGCAAGTGACGGCGAAGCGCAATCATGGGATAGTAATTTATCATATAACTTCAATATTTTCATATCAAGATTTCGATTTTTATTAAAATAAGTAATATGCTTTGAAATTTTGTATAATAAAACATTGTATTTAATACAAATAATATACTATTATGTATAATAATACGAATACAAGAATATTAAGTCAGATGAAAAGAAAGATATGTCACGAAAGATATTCTCAATGCAACTTCTATTATTTTCAAATTAAATTCTAAGACCTTTTTTTTTTGATTGAGAAAACAGTTCATATAAAGTTCGGAACAAAAATAGATTTGTTACGATATAGCGAGCACAACTTTAACGTAATCGCATCTTGCAAAAGGAAAATCGAATGTATAAAAGTCCATGTAAAAAAAACAAGATATCGACCCAAACAAGAGAACGACCTACGATAAAACTCCATCGACACTGTCGAACAAACTACCGACGGTTACGATATCGCAGCTATTTATTTCGACGAGGTCACATTGGTCTTCCATCGAACTTTATCCTCGAAACAATTCTACGACCGAGTTACGAAGCGAGATCCGTATTTCGTCTTCAGTTTCACTCCCTGATAAAAGTGTCGGTCGAAAAATTCAAGAGATACGGAAAGCGACGAGTAATTTATATTCCGCCTTTCCGAACAGCATGGAAAAGCCCGATAAACTTGGATTTTCTCGAAATAGAAACACCTCGGAATCCAATAATATTGTGGGTGCTATTTTGTAACCAAAGCAAAGATAAGCGAAAATCAAGCGATATTATTGATAGAGAATTTAGTTCGATTTCCCTAGAGACTGCAAAATAAATTAAATTTTCCGATCATTTTTCGTGTATGTAGGAACACTAAATATGTAAATTTTGCGTTTATTACCGCTGAAGAAGGTTAGAAAACTAACCAAGACGTTACATCATTGTTTAAGATTTTTAAGAAGTTAAAGATTTTCGTTTTGTTCTTCCATCTCTTCAATAAATTTTCAACTTGTAATATTGAGAGATATTTTTGAACAATTAGCGCATTTTAAATAGCGCCTATTTTCTCGAGCCTTTCTATTGCTTTTTAAGTTAGAGAATTGTGATATTTTTGTAATAATTTTTGTAATAATTATCAACGTAATGAGATAAAAAGAGCGAATGAGAGGGGGGGGAAGAGATAAAAGCGTTTATTGCTACTCTAGGGCGAGCTCTCTAAGAGCAGAAAGAACAGAAAAAGTACAGTAAAAAATAATTATGTGCGCAGTTGTAAGCTGCTTAGAATTGACATAAGCGTAAAAAAACAAGATAAATACAAAATAATAATAATAATAAAGTATGCGAGTATTAGTGAATTAAAATAAGCAGAGGCAAGACAATAAGTGATGTTGTATATAACAATAAGTTATAACGATATAAGATGAAATGATGAACTGAAGTATGTTACAATGAAATTTTGAGGAGAATAATTACGGCGAGTGACATAAGTATGTGATTACAAAATAATTATGTAATTCGAGTGTTGTTTTATTCACACATCATATTATATGAGCAAAACGAAAAGGGAGAGAGAAGACGAAGTCTGATAATTATGTGAAATAAAAAAAGTGAGAAAAATCGTATTACTTGACAGAAAGAAGTAATTGGATAGAAAGAGAGAGAGAGAGAGAGAGAGAGAGAGAAAGAGAGAGAAAGAGAGAGAGAGAGATGACGGACCAGACGGATGACGGAGCATCCACAATCAATGAGACGCCGGACGACACAACGATGACGATGACATCGGGCGACGACAATGATGAAGACAACAACAAATAGACGATATGTTTTAAAAAAATTACAAAAAGCAATGAAATCTTTAAAAAATACCTTTTTAAAAAAGAAAAAATATACGCCAAGTGCATAAAAAAAATGTCGAATGTTACATTCCTTTTAATAAACAACGGATACGAAATAAATGCAATTATTCAAGTATTTCATAACGCAAAACACATAAGATAGATTAAAAGTAACTAAAATGATCAAATGAATTATAGTAAAGAAAAAACTTGGCGCGCCCAGGTCGCATTAAAACGCAATTCTAGGACCAATATGTTTTCATAGTACAAAAATTATTTGCAATACGAATTAATAAAAACGTTTATTACATATTACATTCTGTAGATATACACAATACATGAGAACAATTCAACAAAGAAGATATGTTAGTTATTGCTCACTAATCTTGTAAATTCGTTTTCTATAATGTTTCTATGTCTAAATATTATTAATATTATCAATATTATTACATATTATTTCTCCATAATTTATATCACATCTATTATTTGTGAAAATACATCATTATTTTTATGTCCCACAGACTATGTCACTAAATATATACATTTATATTATATTATATTCAAATGTCTATTATTTTTATATATTTTAATTTATAATGGAAATACTATGATGAGATAATATACATAAATGCAGTTAATGTGACCTGAACACGCCAAGTTTTGTCTTCACTATAATCCAATTGACCATTTTAATCACTTTCAATCAATTTTATGTTTTGCGTTATGAAATATTTGGCAAATTGCATTTGTTTCGTATCCAGTTTTTATTAAAAGTAATGTAATATTCGATCATCTTTTTTATGCATTTAGCGTAAATTTTTTTTTTTAATGTTTTTAAGAAATAATTTTATTCAGTTAATTACATTTAAAATTTTCTACTATATTTTATTATATATTTTATCATTAAATTAATTTAAAATACATAATATTTGTATTCATATACTATAAATAAATATCCTTAAATGGATTAAGAGTATTCGTTTGATTCGTTTTTTTTTCATTTATTTCTGCTAACATTTTTTGGCAATCGAGCGTAGGATGTTTTCAGCTCCAAAAATAATATTGACATTAAAAAAATTAAACAAAAAAAATAGAACATTGCTCGTGTACAGGATCTCTGGCCATCTCGACTCCTTTTCTTTATTCTTTCTTTTCTTTTGAAAAGAAAGCTATCGCAGTGAGAAGAGAGATAGGGAGAGAGAGAGTACGTGACCAACCACACATAGTACATACAAAATCCGGCTCCAAGCTCTGGAGTAAGATAATAAATATGCAAAAAGGAGGAGTTTCGATGCCGTAAATAAAAACGGACTTGCGTGCTGCGCGAGAATCTGCGGTGAGAGAGGATCGTGCGATCCGAAATAAAAGGACGGTAGGGTGCAACAAAGGGTGGAGGAATGCAAAGAGAAAGAGAGAAAAGGATGGAGAGAGGAGATTGAGAGAAGACAGAGGTGTATTCTTCATCTCCGTTTGCGAGAAGTCAAACGGATCTTGTAATCTCTTGATTTAATTCTAATTTAACCATGATGAATACGCTTGGTCAGTATACTCTGTCAATTGGTTGTTTCGAGGCAAGATGACAAGTCGAAGGAGGCTAAGACAGTGATATAGACAGCGGTTAGATCGGTATCGCGGCGGTTAGACAATCATTCGACAGCAATATTCACGGAGAACGTCTCCATCGATGGAAGATTGTGCACGGCGCGAGCTAAATTTGGAAGCGGCGAGATTCCTCATCGATCTCAAGCTCGTTCGAGTGCCATTCATAGCGCGCAGTCTTCGAACGATTAAACTGTTATATTGAAATTCATTTGCATTCGTTCCAAATAATTCGCAAGTTTATGGATACAAATATTTAACCTTTCGTTTAATGTATCGTCTTAAAAAATATCTTTAAAAAAGTCTTAGAGAATGTATAGATTAAGAAATTTGCAGTAAACGCTGTTTTATTAAAATTTGAGATGGGTGAAAGAAAAGTAAGTAAATAAGACCACAAAAATATTTACACGATTTGAAGTCGACCAACCAACATTGTCATATGTTACTAAAATTAACTTAAAATTCATAATTTGAAAAGTAAACTTATATTGTTTGTACAAAATAAGTGAGACAATCGCGATAGAATTTCCTTTATCATAAAAACTGTATTTATTATTTCGTGCAAACATAGAAATAGTTTTAGGATGCCATTCCATTTCATGCATGATGCGCATAATGTATCATTTTATTCTTCTTTAATATTAAGTGAACAACACCAAGATAAAATGAAACATCATGCGTAAAATGAAACGCATTCCTGGACACATGTTGTTCATGTAAGCATAAAATTCTGACAAATGAGAATTAAATAACGAAACAATTACGGCAATATTATTACAAACTTCTATCCTCATTCATTTATTGTTATCACGTAATAATGTCGCCGATTAACAATGTTAATCGATCATTACAACATAACAATGTTGCAAAAGTATAGCGGCTCATTGTGACGCCGACATTATTATGTCAACAAATCGATAGCTTATCCCCGATATAATGCGCCTAAGACTGTAAGATATTTTGCACTTACCTGTACTCGCTGTCGATGCCGATCTTGTTTCCGCTGCCGCCTCTCCAGTTCCTCCTTCCTCTCGATCAGCGACCTTATCTCGACAGCCGCCACGGGAGCCGTCATATCGTCGGTCACGTTGCCACATGAGGGTAATCTTCTCAACGTAGAAATCGAATCTTCCTCTCCCTCGCTGTAACTTTCTACCATGAGTTCCGAGTCGCTCTAGAAATAAATTAATTCCGTTACTGGATAACGAACCATGATAACGATCGGATTTAACGAATTGAAAATTACGTAGGGAAAATCCCAATCTCGAATTTTGCTTTGGCATTTCTTATTTATTCTTTACATGATTTTAAAGATTGTTGATATTTTAGCAAGCTACTCTTATTATTATATATACAAAAAAAAAACAATTTTGCTAAAGTAGATAATCTAAAAAAGCTAGATACAAATCTAAAAAGTAATTTTGTTGGACTATCAAAAAATAATTACATAAGACGCTCAAGTTGGTTGCTAGACTGTCCAAACTTTTGAAACATTGCTCATCATGCTTGAGTTTACTACATAATTATTTTGATGGTCCAACAAAATTATATTCCGATCTGTATCTGACTGAATTTTTAAATATTTCAGCAAACATTCTTTCCAATTGTATATACATACATATACGAGATCAGAACTGAAGATAATTTTAAGATAAATTATAGTTGTTCTTTTACTTTCAAAAAATTAGATTGAAAATTCAATAGAGGGTCCAAGCGCGCTGACTACGTTTTTTTAGTAAAAAGGGAGGAAAGACTAGATTTACGACAGTTACCACATACCTGTGTCGGCGGCGAACTCGGCGAACTCGTGCTCGAAGCCTCGACCACGGAAACATATTCGCTGACGCCGGTCTCGCTTTTCTGCAATTTCAGCACCGGTGTCTCCAAACCGCACAAGAACACTTGACCGAAGAAGAGAATCTTGCTTATCCTGAGGCACATCTGAGCCACTTCCTAAAAACGCGTCGCGAGTTTATCCAACTCGTGGAAATCGAGCAACCGCGCGAATTCTCGGTATAAAACACTGATATACCAAAAGTCCTTCCGGTACTTTGAAATACCTCGAGATACGAAATTCTGTTTTAAGCCTATTTGAGGTTTGTTCAACAAACTTAAAACAACAATAAAATCAACAATAAAAGCACGTATCTCGTAGATATGTATATCAGTGCAATTACTGAAGACATAACATAAATGTAAATTACCATATCTTCCGTTTTCTCCACATAACAAGGATCTTGAGGATTCAACATGAGAGGAGTGAATCCAGCCAACGTGATATCTTCCGGTAGTTTTACGAGTTCCAAGTCTGAAATAAAACGTAGAAATCCGGTACATCCTTTATATACAAGAATCGATATTCCTGGTATAAAGTTATGTGATCGTGCTAAATCAAATTCTCTTTCGGAAGCATACAGATTTATCTAGAATTTATGCGATCAATGCACAAAGATCTAAATCATGTTATGTATACTGTGAAAAGAGTTCAGTTGTTTATGTAGCGCGATTTAGAATGAAGTATAACCGATAAAGTGTAATCGCTTTCTGGTGATTTGCCATCTTTCATGTCCGATATTAAGTTTTTACATACATAATAACATAATAGATAATCATTAACAATGAAATTACAATAAAATACGTAATAAAATCATATATTATATATTTTTGCCAATAACACATAGAATATTTTTTTTCTACTTTTCGTACACTGAGAAAAATGTTTGATTAATTCGAATTCTGGTTAAAAATGAATGAATCAGAATTTTCTGATTAAATCTATTAGAATTTTAGTTAAGATAATTCTCTAATTAATATAATCTTCTAGTTCATCCATTTTCAACCAGATATTTTTTCAAAGAGTGTACATATAAAATTTACACCTACACTTTAAAATACGAGCACAAATAAACTAGTGAATAATTTGCTTCAGTGCAAATTTACAACGTTGCGAGTACTAATCACATTATTTGTCACATATTGAAACAAGTTATTCATTCATGTTCGTTTACATTCATTTACTTCGTCTGGATCTCACTTTAAGTGCAAATATAAAAAAATATTGTTTAAATTTTAACAAATAAATTCAATTAAATGCTAATGATTTCAGGGCAAGCAACAGTAGCGTTAACGAAAGGCTGAGATCGGATTATTGCTTTGACAAACTTATTAATTCTAGTCAGTCATGTGATCAGCCATACCCTCACCGATACGTGCGTAATGATATTCACTATGAGCAATGTGTATTGACGTCCACACATACGTATCTACTCGGTTTAGAGGTAAGTGTACTGCGAGCAAGGACGCGTCACAAAACTAGAACGCTTGTTTCCAGCCGACCGGACCCGTTGGAAGACCCAGTTCGAGACCGAACTCGCGATCATGTCCAATGATCTGTTGAAAATATAAAAATTCACCATGTTCTGTTCGCGAGAAGCATACGCATTCGCGACCGATCACCATGGTTCTCATCGGTCTGCCGATGATCCGTTCTGCCGAACAAATACTATTAGTGAACAAGAACGTAAATTATCACAAAATCGACCGAATAAAATGTAGTTTTAGTTATCAAAAAATATAAGAATAAATAATATGACGAACTATGTCCTTTCATCTATGAATACTTGAGAGTCATTAACATAATATTCTTCTCAAACTAAAATTAATCAAAAAATTATATCTGTGTTATTTTAGAGCGTTTATTTTAGAATGATAAATTATCATCGGTTCTACAACTTGAAGAATTTAACGATGTTACTTTGCACTGTTAAATCTATAATATCAAATTTAAAAACCTTTCAATCGCTACTGCTTCTACTCGATATATCGTTACTTTATACTAAAATAATAATTAAATTTGACACTATTTAGTATCACTATATAAGTAGTGTCAAATTTAAGCAATGTTTTAGGGTGATATTTCGATGAATTTTTCAAGCCTGTTAATTGACTTGTGAATAGGACAGAGAGATCCGAGGATTTCTCTTTTTTGCACATATTTATCGTACGACAAAAACGCACAAATGAAATAGTGGTCTCAGTATAAAATAATAATGTATTGAACAGGAACAATGGCGACTTAAATTAGCTTAAATTTGAAATTATAGATAGCACACTCTGTGCCAAATGCATCGACGAAAATTCGTGCGAATGTAACTGCTGATAGCCGAAAAGTCTGTGAGAGACGCAAAGTCGGGTCATCTTCGTGGCGAGGTCTACACGTGAATGGGCTCCGGGGCAATGCAATTTGTGTATTCATAACATGCGCGCGGCATGCATATAGTGGCGATGTGGCTCGCACGCACGCTGAAAAACCATTGGCCACACGCTAGTAAATGCGGCTGCAAGAGAATGGCACTGCAGTGGTCATGTCGTACGTATTCACCGTTACGCAACCGTCGCGCCAGCTATCTACGGGTCAACAGACCGGGTACCGGGGTACTTCGCCGACTTCGAGAAACGCCATTTTTTCGATTAGGTCTGGTCCAGGTCAACGCGAGAATCACTCGCATTGCAACCGAAGCGTTTCGACCGGTTGCCATTTCTCTCGCTGTTCACACGCTCTTAATTAGTAGAACGTCGAAAAAGAAAACGTCGAAATGCAACAATAAATAATAAATTTTATTAGTATTAATTACTAATACTTTTCTGATAAGATAAGATGTATGTATTTAGAAGAAACCTGCTAAAAATAAATTATTACTTCTAAATTCGATAGTGGATTGAGGTCTAATTTAACATATCAAAAATATTCCATCTAGGGATAAAATCAACTAAATTAAAAAATAACAAATTTGTTAAAACCTTCTTAGTAGAATTATAGATTTTTATATCAAATAATATTAAAGCATTTATACGATTTTAACTAGGTATATTATATATTTAAATTATTGGAGCTCTAATTTTACGAATTTTAGTATATTCAAACTAATTGTTCCAACAATATATAAATCAAATAACATTACTATTTTAAAATCAATAGTTTTGGTATTTGGATAGTTGGATATATTTTGAACTCTATTTTAAAAAAATCAAAATGTAAAAAATATTAAATTAATTCAATAAATTAAATTAATAATACCGACTTGCATCAATTTCCGCAAGTATAAATAATCTTGACAATTTTTTTAAATTCTTCCTAACATGTTTTTTATTCTCTTTAGATAAAACAACATGGAGACCATCAATATACACGGAAATTTTTTTCTCATAAAAGACAGTCGGAAAAATATTCTCTTACCTTCCTCACGATCCTCTGTATCCTTGCCTTGAATCAGAGTCGTCCTAGTGTAATTTAATTTCTCTAGAAGATTCACCATCGTCGCTAACCTGCTCCATGCATCTCCTGGTGGTCTGTAATAAACGAAAGAAGATTGAATTAAATCTTTTCTAAGTTTCGTGATAACCTTCATTAGAAATAGCTAAAGTCGAAACAAATTATAGATCCACATCACGGTCAAATCTATCGTGATTAGGAAAAACTCAGATGAATTTAATCATTCTTTTAATACATAATTCAAAAGTAAGAACGAGGAAGGAATTCGATAATATCAAGGTTTAATGTAGAATTCTTTCTGTATGATTAAACTGCTCGCTTCAAAGATTAAATTGTCGAACAGTAATTTACGACTTGCGTTGCATTAAGATAAGATATAATGATCTTTAATTCTTCGAATTATATTTTTTTATTGGACTTTCTAACATTACTTGACGCCACTTTGGCGCCGCGAGGCTGACAAACTTTTTATATCTCGAGATAATACTCAGGACTAATTTTCTACGGATTTCAGATTCCTTATTATTGTTTTTGTACGAGTGACAGCATAAATGCCCGAAAATTCGTGCCGGCTGTGCAAACACTTGCTTAAACATTTGCTTATAAAAAAAAATAATCAGGTAAATTGCTACTTGATTTTCTTCAGCATTGACTACCTGGCGTATACTTAACATGAGGTAAATATTTTCTGGATCATTCGTCACGCAACGAATTCTTGCCACAAGGGTACAATTACCGCATTCGACGTGACCGAGACTTCCAATGAAATTCCATTTGCCAAAAATACAGTTTCAATGCACTGCACGAATAATACATCGAGATATTTCAGAGATTCGCGGCTTCCGCGTGGTCACGACGAAACGCACGTGGAATTTTCGCACGCCTTCGCGTGGGACGTGGCGCACGATTTCGTATTTACGGTGAGATAAATCCAAGACGCGATTAAAAGAATGGGCGATAGATAAAATTTATATCTAATCTATTTATGGCACGAAGAAGGAAAAGTGATGTGAAAAGGAGACGCCGGTTCTTACGCAAATATGATATATTTTCGTACGACTACTTCATTATCAATGTCGAGAATTACATATTAGAAATTATTGTGGCAGGGGGGATCTGCGTAATGCGCGCGGTGGATGATAATAATAATAGATCACGGATTTATACATTTAATGTACTTCGTATGACCAGCGGCGGCTCGTTTCACTGACATTATTAATGATCTATCCGCGGCAGGGCATACGTTTCCATTTGCCACTTCCGTATTACTGTAAAGCCAAAGTCGTTCGTTCAATTAATTCTTTCGTCGCACATAGCGGCTCTCAGATCGTGCAAATTCTCATTGTATAAAACAAGAGCATTTAAAAGAATTGTAATACCGGAAATACGCAACGGTTACATTCTGTGTATTAATGCTTCTTTAATGAAATAGAACAACATTACTTACTGCTTGTCTCGTATTATAAAAAAACGGATTTAACTATAAATTTTTAGCAAACTCCGCCACATATACAATTTTAATCTGAGAATAATTATCTGATTTTTTTACGTAAACGAGAGAACCTGGAATGTGTTTTTATATAATTAAAATCATTATTAATATAACATAACGCTGCATCGGCAATGTTGGATTTTAAAGACAGTCGGTTTTATTATAAATTTTGGTAAACAAATTTAAATCTTTAAAAAATAAATAAAGTGCAATTTATAGTAAAAACGCATTAAAGTTAAAGTTTTCGCAAGTAAGAATTTTTTTCAGATTTTTAGATAATCCGAAACAATATAAAAATATCCACTAAAGTTCGAAAATCCAGGTTAAGGTAAAAATTTCACATTGCTAGTAAAGAGTTAAAACATGTTACATGACTGTTTTATGAATATTTAAAAATATTATGAATTTAATCACAATTTTCTGAAAAATAAAAATAGAAACTAAATTTTAAACAAAAACATATATATAATACAATATTAAACAAAATAAGTATGTTAAATATATATAAGTATGTTAAATATATTATTATATTACTAAAAAATATTTTTAAATAAATATATTTTTAAATTTATTTTAAAATAAATATATTATATTACTAAAAAAATAAAGATTTTAATTAACATAACACGTTTTTTACGCGTGTGGCTCTTTAATAAAATTACATATTTAAAAATTCATAAAAAAATCAGTTACTAAAAATGAAAGAAAATGCATTAAACAATATCTTTAAAAAACAATATTTTACAATTCACATCTTCTCGCAGGTGAGATATAAAAACACTCCAGATGATTTTCCCGAGCCAATGATACATGCACGACTTCAATGACGATGCACTAAAGAAGAGAATCACATGAGAATCACGAGAGGATTTCAGCGATCGCTTAATTTCGTGACAAAAGGGCAAAAGTGCATGCGGTTTCCGGCGCGATTAATCGACCGGCGTCCTTAAAGGTCATCGATTAATCGTATCTGCCATCGCGAAATCCACGTTCGCGTCGAATCGTTGCATGCTGCTCTAAGTGCAACGACGATCAAGATCGAGAGAGGATCGACGATCGCGCGTCCCGTGCTGCGCGGCGTCCTTGCCAAGGAAACGCTTGACTCACGTAATTGTTAATCGCTAACGAGCAACAATGATTAACCTATCCCAGCCAGATAGTAGCTGTTGGTTACGCAAAAAAAAAAAAAATCCGCGTCTCGAGACTGACGTTGCGAGAGAGAGAGAGAGAGAGAGAGAGAGAGAGAGAGAGAGAGAGGAGGGAAGAGGGAGCCTTGAGGCTCGTTCAATGGACAGTAGATTGCATCAGTCGGACAAGCGTGACTCTTATCCCTCTCTCTCTCTCTCTCTCTCTCTCTCTCTCTCTTTCTCTCTGTCTCTTTTACTAGCTACTCTTATTCTTCTTTTATTTTATCTCATTAGCGAAACTCGCGCCGAGAAGCGACGATGCGCCGTGCGTCGATAAGATGAACGGCGCATTGCTCTCTCTTTCTTCCTCTTCTCTCGTTTTCTCTACGGAGCGCGCACGAAGCGCGCACTAAAATGTATTCGCTCACGTTTGATCAATTCGCATATGATCAATTCGAGACGCGCCGACCCGGCCCCTTGATGAAATGCTGGCCCACGAGGCTCTCAAACATAGCGGGGCGTCGGGATTTCCCCGTGCTCTCAGGTCCCTTATTTAGCGCCATGATTCAGCACAGTGCAGAATTCGGGTACAACAGGTTCGCGCTTGCGAAAAAGTAAAGCTCAAATAAAAATCTATTATTCTCATAACATCAGCAGATGAAAAATTATTATCAGATAAAATTGAAGTATATTAGATCGTAAAATACTGATAATAATATTCAAGAGTGTCATAATTTCAATGTGTCCAAATCCATGATAATATTAATTTTTGTCTTAAACCACTTTTCTACATCTAATAAATTTTCTATATTTTTATTTCAATTAGGAAAAGCACTATATGTCAATGCACTAGTGTGCTAATTATTTAAGAAAAATTTTAAAATACATATCTATGAAAGGCGTCAGGAGTCGGCTAATTATTGATTCTAATAGATGATATTTCTTTCATTAATATTTTTAATATCGCGCATATTCCAAATAAAACAAAAATTTATTTTCATCTTCATAAGAAATAGATACAGCTATTTAAAATTATCTCGTTCAATTAGGTCATCATTGATAATAATTTATAGAACTCCTATACTCTCGATATTTTAGATATAAATTAAATGACACTTTGATATCTCGCGCCAGTGATCTCCGTGACAACACATTGATCCGTTCTTTTGCTTCTTTTTCGAAAATTTGTCAATCAAATTGCGGCAGCAGAGAGTGTAAGAATTATAAATTAGAAATGAAGCGGGACATTACAATCACGAACACGTGTCGCGCCACGGGAACGTCGTCTGACGTTCCGCCGCGGGTGTCGCGATGTCTTTACCCGCGAGTTTCTCACACCGCGTGCGATTCACCGAGACATCACCGCGCGAGGAAATTAATAGTCCGATACAACAGCAATAATTCAAAACACCTCAAGTGTCAAGCTGAATTAATAGTCGCTACGTGCAGCTGCGACGAAGCCGCGGCCGAATGTACAAATCTCCTCCTCGGTCTCTCTTTCCTTGGCGCTTCGAAGGCTTAATCCATTTGACAAAAGTGTCATGTAGACCAGCATATCTCGCGCGTCCACGGGGTTGCGCGAAACCCGCGCCCTCCTCGTTGAAATTAGAACGATGCGCGGTAATAATTAAAGCGGGACAGTAACTTATACATTCGCTACAAATGCGAAAGGAGCGTGGTAGAATAATGCCGCGGGAACCTGGTATACGATGCGCGACTCGCGAGAGATCGAGCTTCGATACGATGCAGCGGTTGACCGTGACCTACGCCATACTCACTTCCATCACTTCTCCCCATTCGTGAGATATCGGCTCTCGCTAGAACATGCTCGTGTCTATTGAGACACAACTTCATGCTGATGCTCATTTTTAGCATCGAAATAGGCCACGTGATAAATTGATGAATATCAAGCGTCAATTTTAATCATGTGACGCTAAAAACGAGCGTCAAGCGTCAATATAAAAAGGTGCTTGTAAGCTAATATTATTATATATTTATCCATTTTTATCGTACGTACAAATCTATTGATTGGCTATAGGATAGAGATTCAATAACCTCTCCTCTTGCCATTAATACGATTAAAAAATTTGTCGTACGACAAAAACGAATAAATATAATATTAGTCTTAAAGCTGACATGGTTGATCAAATAAAATGTATGTAACAATTTAATGCTCTCTCTTGTCAATTTGTCACTTCGTCTTCGAATTCGCGCGTTATTCCGTTTTGTTAAAAACAGTAGCGGTAGTCTAAATTCAAAGATAGATGTACAGAAAAAAAAGTCGGAAGTTTTCAAAGCTAAAAGTGCTTAAGGCGTTTTCAAATGAGATTGGTTATATAATTTATCTCGAATAGTCAAATATGATTAGATTCCGACAGTAGCACTTCGCATGCTAATGATCTTTCTCGCTCTCAGATTTGAAATAATTATTCCAAGGCCAGACGTCAGTGAGCATGATCACGCTACATGCTACGTGCTTTGTACTTCGTTCGTGCGCGACAGCTACGATCCCAAGGCTAAAGATGTTCGGACAATAATTATTTTCGAATTAATCTTCTTTCATAATAATGATCTTTGATAAAACTTCAAAATATATTTGAAAATAATTGATTTCAGAATCTAGTGTTTATTAGTATAAAATATTATAAAATAGGGATTAAGTAAATTTTTTTTTTCAAATTATATCCATTCTTAAATTGGAATTTTCCAAAAAAGGTTTATCATTTATTCAGATCTCAAAAATTAATGTTCAACATATAATTATTATTCGTGTATCATTTAACTTATCTCAACTTATTACTTGTGTACCTCTAGTTTTTTTATTATATTGATTGTTGAGTAAATAAACTCAAATGTTTGCTTAAATAAGCTTTGAAAATATTCTAAGGAGATTTGTTATTTTTCAAATTTCATAAATTATGTATAATTATTTAAATTATTATTAGAGTATTATTAGAGTACCACATCTAACTTTAACGTTACATAACGTTACATAAATTATTCAGTAAATAAGCTCAAACAACTAATAAAAATATGTGTAGATTATTTCAAAAATGAAAATTATTAATAGATTCTTAAAACCCTTTCTTGAGTCTCTGCCCATCATCTTCGACATTGCACATCAGCTTCAATGAATACAAATTTTTATACAGCGCAAATTCTCCCGTAAACGTCGCACTCGCTGGAAGTCGATGGGCCGATTCAAACCACACGAACCACAAAACCACAGGATCGACAAGTTCAAGATATATCGAACATTTCTATTGCACGCTACATTCTTAGTACACATGACATTCATTTTCACACATTGGCATCTAACTTTAATCCCGAAAGTATGATTTTGCAACGCGCGGTTAGAATGCGCAACAAAGTTGTAATTAAACCAAGACAGGGCAGTCCGTAAGCCAAACGAAATTTATGTTGCGAAACAATATAAGGAGATTAGGGACTTTCCTCAAGCAGAGCATTACGGTGACTAAAGGCCGCGTACACGCAAATCTCATTTCCTTTATTGAGTTTAAGATTAAGAAACTTACCCGACTCTGTAATCCGTGCAAGACGGCGGAGGATTCCAAACAGTGCTATGGCAAAGCATCCAATCGCACCAGATCTGCAGAAACAAAGGAAATAACATAGTTTATAATCCAAATTAATACATAATAAGATCAATATATAATAAATATATAATAAAACCAAAATGTCAATAATACGCAGATAATCTTTTCAATTTTTAACAAGAATTAACTTTTTGAACTTCAATCTCATACTTAAACATAAGAAATAATAAAAAGTTGACATTAAAAAGAAATGCAAGTGTATTTTTAAAAAATTATTTATAAATTAAATTTTCTCTATAAAAGAGGAAGTTCTTTCGAGGAACTTTCTCGTTTAAATATGACAATTATAAAAATCATAAGTAAATTCCAGAAAGTAAATTTTTAGAGGATATACGTAAAAACAGAAATAAAGCTCTGATTTCAACAAGAACCAACTTTTTCATGATATTCAATCATAGCCTACACTCAAAAGAGAAATGTGAGAAATGATAAGTTAACATTAAAATAAAATGCGAGCATATTTAAAAAAAATTATCTCTTAATAAAAGCGTGATTATGCGTCGAAAAAAATAACACTATAATAAGAATAAGAAATTATAAATGCTACAGTATTAATAAAAATTTCAACAATAGTTACAAAGAAGATCTGAACAAAAATTTCAAATCAAGGATATCTATTTCGAATCAAGGACATCTCGTATTATTTTCTCTTCCTAATATAATAGAATCTTTTATTTGAGGAACCTCTTCCGAAATTTTTATTTCTTTCGTTTATAACCTTATCAAATTTTTAAATGTCGGAGAACGCAAAAATACCTCGCTATTTATAGACACTCCTGTGAGACTCTTTTTTCATTGAGAACGTCCATCCATCCTCATACAGTGAAACATATTCCAACGGCCTTGTATCGTGTCTACTTTATCGGCAATATTAATGGTCTCACCTCAGTCGCAAGCGCGAGTCTGGCTATTATTCCTTGTATCAGCTCGCATTCCGATAGTAATCATTGTTTCTTTTTTTCTTTACATCTTTTATCATTAGTCGAGAAATACATAATGACTGTGCAAAGACACGATAATTTCCCAGTACATAATTAGAAAAAAATTATTTAATGCCATAAAATTGATAGTTAATCGATGGTTAATCATTATTAATTCATTATTTTCAATGATCTGAAAAAAATTGTACTACGTACTTTTGTAGCATAAGATTAACATTTATTTATGTAGTAAGTACTCATTTTAAGCAACATCCACCTTCTTGGTTGTTAATCTTATTTTTTCGATTTTGTATGCTTGCATTATCATTTTACGATCAATCTTTTATATGGCTTAGCATCCAGTTAGATAAGAAATCGTGTAATTTCAAAGTTCCGATACCTGATCATCATCATTAATCGAAACATGCACTTACGCGATGACATACGATAGATACATTAATTGTGATCATCAAGTATAATATTATTAAGTTGCGACACAATCAGATTTTGGATTCGACATGTCGGTCATCAGCGGATGTGTGGGCGCGACTCTCGCAACACTTCATAAATTCTTTATGATTAAGCATTCGAGTCCGGGGCTGCGACAGCGATGAGAAGTAGAATCTAGTTGACGAAGAAAACCCGATGTCTTTCAGAATGATGCAATCTATACCAGTAATAATTAACCAACGGCCTACCATAAATTATTCCGTGGGAGACGGAAGTGAATAAAAGTCATAGCAATGAATGAACGATAAAAGCTATTTTTTACAAATAGGCTTTTTTACAAATAGTATTTATATTAGCTCTCAAGATATGAGAATCGTGATGTGTTCTAGCAAGAAGTTAAGAGGTTGGCCGCCACTGCTCCAGATCTAATTATTCCGTAATAGCGAGCTGCGGACGATGGACGTGATCGAGGCAACGTTTCGACTCGGAAATTGACTTACGCTCGCCGACTTGCGTCGCGAAACGCAATTAAGACTTCGCTCAACCGATACGTATTGATGGAGGAAAGAGGGGGAGAAAGTACCTTAATAGCCGGTAGAAGCACTTGGAGATCCTCGCCGACCACCAGCCTCGGTTCCTGCTCGCTATCTAGCTGAGCTTTCAGTAGATAGACACCACGTTCCAAGATCAAGCTGAACATCTGCAACGATACGACGAGTGCTCGTTCTTGGACTTCTGATCTATAGCCTTGCTCCATTTGAGAATCTGCAATAAAAAAATCATAATAGGATGAAATAAATTCATACACGTTCGCCATACAATTTACATCTTAGATTAAGAAAAATAACTCAATTTCATGAAAGAAAAACACATATTAAATAGTGATAATATCGTCTTGTATTCAAACCATGACAGGAAGACATAATTAAAATTTTTATAGTTAAATATAAACTAAAGTTAAATATAACTATGTAGTTTTAAGATATACAGTATCTCTTTACTTACGATGGGATTACGCACGGAGAGAAACTTCAGTCGTAAATAAAATTAATCGTAAGTTGAAAATAGTAGTAATATAAAAGTAGTATTAAATCTATGAAGAACCAGTTACGATTAAAATTGATGTTGAAATAATGCATCTATGTCTATTAAAATTATTTTGTTTAATATTAAATCTATTGTTTTTCTTTCTCTTTTAATAATAATATTTCTATTTTTAGTCACTTTGGACCTAAATAATTACTAATTAGGTGTTAATAATTTTCATAAATGTAAATCTTAATCTCGGTTCAACTTAAACACTCTTCATCTTTTTCTAATTTTTATCGAATAGCGACTCAAAATTCGAAGTAATCGTAAGTGAAGGGATATATATCTGTAGTTAAATTTTTTTTATAGCTGTAGAATAATATTCTTTCTTTCGATTTATATAGTTTTTTATTTCGAGGCTTTATTTTTCTTTTACATACGTCTTATAAAAATTTAATTTTCGGGGCCTATAATTTTTACAATTGTCACATTCAAGTGAGAAAGTTTCTTGAAAGAACTTTCATCTCTTATAACTTCATCTCTTATAGAATAGCATTGAAAATCGTCACAATCGTCAGAATCTGAAGATTGTTCCGAGTAATTACGATCAACTCTTCACGAAGGAAGGAAGAGACAGAATGCGAGGGTGCATCTACTACACACGGCAATATCCGGACAGCAAATTGGTGCTGATTGTTACATTGGAGGGGGAAAAACGCGTAAGTTAATGCCGGTAGCGATCACGTTTCGGTGATGATGATGATGGCTGATCGATGTGCAATCTATTCAGCGTCGCGACCGGATTCGCCATCGGCGGCCGTACATTTTCTCTCTTCGGGACTGTCATTACGCGTTGTATCGAAACTACGTGACGGGACGGGGCTCCCGGTAGATTCAGAAGAGCGAAGGTCATGACACAACCTTCTGCTGCACTACCTCCACTTTCTTCGAGTCATTTCTAGACCGTTTCTTGAAGTGGTATCTTCGGAGGGAATTTACTATACATCGTAATGAATCGATTCCTTGGCGAAGGGAAACAATTCTCTCGAAAGAGAGAAAAGATCAAGCGATATCATCTATGAGAATATTTTAATTTGCAGTAACAGAAGTACCCCCGAATATCGTCTCCTTTAATTCTGGAACTTGAAAGAGAATAAGCCTTAACTACTTCGTCTGCTCAATTACTATCAAGCTAAAAATACTGTTTGGTTGTAAATGTTGCTTAAATTTTCCTACAACGCGACATTTGAAAGTTGAACTTTAGAAGGAATTTATAAAATTAGAAAAATATTGTATTTTTCCACTTAAAATAGAATTGCAGAATATACACTAAAAAAAATATAGTCAATTTTAATAAATATTTAATTGAATACTGCCAACTAAATATTTATTAAATATAAAGATATATTTATTTGATACAAGAAATGTTAATTTGATTTAACAATCATTTTTTTTATTGAATAAGTATTTAATTATTGTAAGTAAATGTTTAGTAGAGCAGTATCGAACTAAATATTTATTCAAATTAACTGTATTTTTTTCTCAGTGTAACAATTTAAATTCAATATGACATAAAAAATAAAATTAGGGTTGATAAGAGATAATTTTTATAAAAGATTTTTTTTTAAGAATAAAACAGTTTTTTTTTTTCAAGTATATTTTTAATACTTACATGTTTTAAACAATATTATTTTTAAAAAGTGTTTAAAACATGTTAAATTTGATTAAGCATGTTTTAAACAGTTTAAAACATGATTTTTATCAATCTTAATTAAAATGTCATAAAAACAAATAAATACAAAAAGAGCCATTGGAAAATGAAGTTTTTCGTTACCTCGCGTGTTTTATTATCGATATACATTTTAATATCGATTTCGAAAATGATTCATCTTATATGCAATCGTTTTCAATTTTAGGCATCGAATGCTGCTACTTCGGGGATACGAATATTCGCACGAATATTATGCATCTTCGGTGAAAGTCCCGTTGCTCATTGCTTTGTACATCTTTATTAGCGAGCTATAGCGAAGCTAATTAGATGAGCGTCGCTAACGATGGTGTAATGAATCCATACAAAAACGCCACTTATCAAAACTACTGGCGTTTATCACGGAAAAATGAATAATGTAGTAGGCACAGCAAGATAGATGCAAGTCCTTTGTAAAGTGGATATTCATCATAATTCAAAGAAAAAAAAATATTCTAAAGATCTCTTAATATATAGAATATTGAAAATAAAATGTAAAATCCATTTAGAAAAAAAGCATGTTTAATAAAAAAATAAATTAAATTGATACTCGAATCCGTCGAAGAATCGTTGCCCCTTTTCCGCGATGCTAATTGATTGATTTCTCGCTACATTTATTTTGCGAACGGCTGTTATCGCATATTTTGAAAGTATTGTGTACTAAGAGATTAATATATATAATAGTATAAAAAGTAAAGAGATACGGGATGTTATGACAGTCACAAAATTAATGTTAACCAATGATTCGGAAAAGTCAATTCAATTTGAATGAGAAAAGGCATATATCGATCTATCTGAAACTCAATATTACTGACAAGGTAGCAAATTGTGTAATCAAAACAAATGTTATATACATTTATCTTTTTCATAAATTTCGACTTTCTCAGTTTCTCAAAGAAAAGCGATTGATTCTCTATTGTGGTGAGTATTAAACAAGAAATGCTTCCCCTACAGATTTCGTTTAGTCTAGTATAGTAAAAAGTAAAGTAAATAGTGCGCGATAAAAATTACATATACAGAATGGCACATAAAATATTATATCATTTGATTTATAACACATTTATTTCTAACAAAATTGATACAGAACTGGAATTGATTATCAAAGCCTAAAAATTGGATAATTAAATACAATAATATAGCATTTCGTGCGCTACTGTATATAATATTTAAATTAGAGATGCAGTAAAAATCTAAAATAATTTGCATATACCAAATGACAAAATATCCAAAAAAAGAAAGCAGCTATAGGAAAATTACAATAACAGATAGATCTGCATGCATTAGTCGTCCCTATTTTTTCGCTTGCCGTAAAAGTTGGCGGCAACTCCAAAGATGTCCGAATATTCCGCTCACGCGCGATAGTAAGGGTGATTTCGCATTGCGTATATGTATGACGCGAATTAACTCTGCAGAATAGAAGCCTAACACAAATTTAACAAGCGAGAGAGTAACGCACCGTGCCACGTCTATGCCATCTTCCATCAAGCGTCGTGCATACGCACAACAGCCATATTTGAAGGTAGACTCTGGCAGTTTAATTTATCGCGGACAGGGATAATAATTAGCGTTTAACCGCGAGGTCGCCCTCGAGAAAGCCCGTGTGGTCTCATCGGGGATTGGGAGGGGTGTAAAAGGTAATTAGTTAGAGAAGATTTACAGGGAGAGGCTTTAACTAATTGCCATCACGATCATTAGCGAAACTCAGGCGTATCGTCCCGTGTCGACTTGTACGATTTCCTCGTCTTTCGCGTGAAAAAAAAAAACGATCTAACTACGAACATTAATCCGTGACTAGATACACCATGACTGTGACTACACAAAAATTATAAAAAATATATTCCATATTTAATAGTGTTGAATCATCGATTTAATAAAATCAAATAGTAAATAACAATTTTTTTGTTCAAAATATACACTGAGAGCAAAGACTATAAATACAAATAAATAATGTTAGCATATTTATGATTATTACTATAATTTTAGTGATAATAACTATACGTATTCTATCAATAAGTATATGTATATATAGTTGATAATCTGGAAATGACTATAATTATAGTTACTATTATTATAAAAATAATTACAAATACTATAATTTAACTATTGGGTTTTTCGGAAAGTTCGTGCCGATGTTGAAGGAAAATTGAAACGCAGAAAATTTAAATTTTAGTATACATTTATTAAATTATATAGATTAGTCGGCACGAATTTTCCGGACAACTCAATATAATTTATGATCATTTGTGTACTATATTTTATATCACATTTTATATAATTCTTCAAAAATTATATTAAATTATAATTAAATTACTTGCAGCCATTATTAGAATAATAATAACTATAATTAATTATTTCTGGATTGTCAACTATATATACATTTGCTGATAGAACTTACGTATAATATTAACTATAACATAGTAACAGTAATAATCATAATTATTGTATATATATATATATATATATATACGAGTTCCATGTAGTTTCATGCTCCGCACGAATGTCGTAAGGCCAACGAACTTCGTAAAAGATGCGCACATTTTCTCTTATCGAGATCTTTAACTAATGAGGTAAATGCGACAACGAGATCTCGCACGGAACGAGAAACGCTTTTAATGAAGTCGGTGGGTAAGTTCGGTCTTCCTGTTTCCCGGACCGATATTAACACCGCGAAAACGGATGGAATCAAGTTAGTAAGCTGCGCGCAGATAATTCAATTATTAACAATTCTAATAGACACCGTTCTTCTAATTCAACGAATTCGCCGCGCGCCATCGGGATATCGTTTTCACGAGATTCTTCTTTAATTTCAAATAAAATAAAAACCTCGTTACACTTGTTTACTCAAAAAATTCATCCAACACGTAATTCATGATCTCTTAAAAAGCACATATTTACATTCCTCTTTTTTTTTTCATTTAAAAAAATCTCTTTTTCTAATTTTGAACATAATATACGTAATATTATGTTCAGCAGAAAAATAAAAAAAATA